GGTAATTTCGTTTGGTGACGGCTCTCTGGACATTTTGGGGGTCTAAATTAGGGTTTATGTTGTCTGGAATTGTTTGGAATTTGGGGCTGAAACACGAGGTTAATGTCGATGGGACAAGCTTTTTTGGTTCCAAGATTATGAAAGTTTTTGTCTTTGAATGCCTCCTCCATTTTTCACTATTCTGGGGTTTTTCGAGGTCAATTGAGAACTCGTAGGCCATAATTTGGATTTCTCAGACACCATATAGCAAAATTGAGTAGGGTTTATGAGTAAAGATGATGACATTAGGAGAAGTAAAGTGTTTCAGCTATGTCAAGTGATGTTAGATTGTGATCTCCATTAGTAGAATCAAGGTTCAAGTATATACGGTGAGCTATATATCCCTTGAAGCTCGATATCTTTCAAGAACTCTTGATTTCTCTTGTTCATGGAGGAGTATAACTTTTCTTCTTGGTCAGTTTGTGATCTCTTCATATAGATATCTTGGAGCTAGTCAATGGATCAGTATATAGTGATTTTCCTATCAGTCACTATTCGGGTATTAATATAGCGTTTCTCGTTGTTATTTGCAGGACCCTATGAAAAACGGTGTCTTGGCGGTTCAGACCATCCGAAACAACATAATGGCATCAACCCTTTTAGCCAGTACAGCAATCACTCTATGTTCCATCATCGGTGTCTTTGTAAGCAATTCCTCAGCTTCAAAATCCACGAGTCTCGTATACGGAAACAAAAGCCCTCTATTAGCATCAATCAAGAACTTCACAATCCTGATCTGTTTCCTCATGGCCTTTCTCTGCAACGTCCAGTCAATCAGGTACTACGCTCACGTAAGTTTCCTGGTTACAGTGCCTGTCTCGAGAGGGAAAAAAGAACACTGCGAGTACGTGTCTAGAAACCTGAACAGAGCTAGCTATTTCTGGTCTCTCGGGTTGAGGTCTTTCTACTTCTCCTTCCCGCTCTTCCTATGGAGCTTTGGTCCCATCCCGATGTTTGTGTGCTGTTGTATGATGTCCTCAATTCTATATTTCTTGGATACGACCACTAGTTTCACCAGGCATCTCCATAGCCAGTCGTTCAGAGAAACAGCTGATTCAATGGACGGTGAAATCGAATCAGCGGTTCATGCTCTGTAGACTCTTCTCTGGTTTTTGTTGGGTGTGAGTGTTCGTTGAGTTTCAAGAGTTATATATTAACGGAGTGTGTTTGAAATGTGATGTAACAACTTTGGTTGTGAATGTTTATCTGCGTTTGCGTTTCCATGTTACGATGATTGGAATATTATAATATGAAAACGCAAACGCATTTGTAAACGCAAACAAACAATCGAGAATAGCCTAGTCTGTAGTCTTATGTAATCTCTTGTAGTTTTGTTCTCAATGTATTTCTCCTCCTTCACTGAAAGCAACGGTTTGGTATTTCTCTTAACTGAATTTTCTGAACCAGAGTTCGGATATTTCGTGCTCTGTTTGGTTTGGTCACTGGTTCGGTTATCGTTATCATTTCAGTTGTATTAGTAACTCATTTGCTTTGATGAAATTACACCGTCTTTACCGAAATTACGTACATTACAAACATCTTATAGTTTTGTTTGATTACAAAACTGTGGAAGAATGTGATAGCTTTTTTTCCTTTTGCACGTATATATAATTATGATATTTAGATTTGATATATTTTATAGCCAGAGAAAGAGACATTGTAACCACCAGCTTGCCTTGAAGAAGAAAAATCCATGATTATTTATTCTTCTTCGACTTTCTGTTTTGTATCCAATTTTAGAATTTTTACTCTAATTTCGTCCATCCAGTTTCCTTGCCTCTATAATCCTATATCAATTCGACCAAAAAAAAAAATCTGTGTTTTCCGAAAATCCAGAGATTGATTATTACACATACATATCCCAGAAATGATATTGAACTTTGGCTTAGAAGACCGGCCTGGTTAAGAAAATCATGCTTGAGTCAGTGTCATGGTGATTGTTGTTTTCCCCATGTCATTGAAGCTTCTTGAAATCCCTGCCAAATCAATCACAGAAAGAATAAGATATTTTGGCTGTAAGAAGTTTTCACAATGCAAGCTGATGTATATATACATACATGTTCACTCTTTTGAATATAATGATGAAATTATCGAAAATATTTTACAAACTGAATATACTATTAAGTATTGCATATGCTACAACATTGTTCTATACATAACACGATGCTAG